TTCCCCCTCCCCCCCGAGAATAGTCAGTCCACTCCTTTCTATGCCCCTGATTCTATTATATTCACCACTTTATTCTGTTCATCGGATTATTTATTCACTTGAATTTTAAATGCACTTGTTGATAGATGTGTATTTGTTGTTCATAATTTGTATCTTTACCTTTTTCTTCTTCCTCTTCTTAAAAAATACCTTTCAGCATTTCATATAATACTGGTTTGGTGGGGATGAACTCCTTTAGCTTTTTCTTATCTGTGAAGCTCTTTATCTGACCTTCAATTCTGAATGATAGCTTTGCTGGGTAGAGTAATCTTAGTTGTAGGTTCTTGCTATTCATCATTTTGAATATTTCTTGCCACTCCCTTCTGGCCTGCAAAGTTTCTGTTGAGAAATCAGCTGACAGTCGTATGGGTACTCCCTTGTAGGTAACTGACAGTTTTTCTCTTGCTGCTTTTAAGATTCTCTCTTTGTCTTTTGCTCTTGGCATTTTAATTATGATGTGTCTTGGTGTGGTCCTCTTTGGATTCCTTTTGTTTGGGGTTCTCTGAGCTTCCTGGACTTGTAAATCCATTTCTTGCACCAGGTAGGGGAAGTTTTCTGTCATTATTTCTTCAAATAGGTTTTCAATATCTTGCTCTCTCTCTTCTTCTGGCACCCCTATAATTCTGATGTTGGTACGCTTGAAGTTATCCCAGAGGCTCCTTACACTATCTTCATATTTTTGGGTTCTTTTTTCTTTTTGCTTTTCTGGTTGGGTGTTTTTTGCTCCTTCGTATTTCAAATCTTTGACTTGATTCTTGTGATCCTCTAGTCTGCTGTTGGAACTCTGTATAATATTCTTTATTTCAGTCAGTGTATGCTTAATTTCTAGTTGGTCCTTTTTCATATCCTTGAGGGTCTCACTAAATTTGTCGGCAGTCTCACTAGATTTCTTGAGGGTCTTACCAAATTTATCGGTGGTTTCTAGAAAATTCTTGAAAAACCTTAAAAGTGTGGTTTTGAACTCTATATCCAGTAGTTTGCTTTCCTCCATTTCTATCATTTGTGACCTATTTCTTTGTCTCCACATTTTTTTAAAATATATTTTATTGATTTTCTACAGAGAGGAAGGGAGAGAGATAGAGAGCTAGAAACATCGATGAGAGAGAAACATCGATTCAGCTGCCTCCTGCACATCTCCCACTGGGGATATGCCCGCAACCAAGGTACATGCCCTTGACCGGAATCGAACCTGGGACCTTTCAGTCCGCAGGCCGACGCTCTATCCACTGAGCCAAACCGGTTTCGGCTGTCTCCGCATTTTTTATGCTTCCCTGTGTTGATGGAGTGGCTTTGTGTGCTAGATGTGGTAAGTGGGTCAGCCTCCCCAATTACCGGAGGTGGATACTCTTGGTTCACCCCTTTGTGGGCTTTGTGCACCGTCTTGTTGTAATTAAGCCTTGATTGTTGACCCCCAGGCCAATTGGCTGTGAGAATCTGCTGTGTCTACTGTGGGAGAACTTCTGTGCTGAAGACACCCTTCTGGGGCAAGACTTGCTTCAGTGGGGCTTTCGTGCTCACTGAGTCTGCCCCCTGAGTGTGTCCCTTATGGATCTGAGGAGTTGTAATCTGGATGGTCCCACTCTGACCACTGGGTACACTGGCTCTTGGATCTCTAAGGAGGTGCTATTTAGCCTCTGCCTGAGGCCACCCAGCAGGAGCTACGAAGAGATCTGCAGATTCCTCTTCCTTGTTTGGGGTTTGGAGGTGCCCAGAGGAGGCCCAGTTGTGAAGCAATGCAAGCTGCTGTGGGGCCTTGGGCCTTCTCTTAGAAGTTCTGGGTCTTTCTGGCCCAGCTGCAGTTTGTTAGGTAATTTTCAGATTGCAAAGGGCCAGGGCATTCATATGCAAAAGCCTCTGGGCACAGCGTGGGTGGGACGGGGTCTCAGGGGATCAACAGGGCGGAGCAAACAGCTATGGCTGCTCCTCATTCCTGCCCTAAGAGGCCCCGAGTCTCAGTGTCCCAGTAATTGCTGCAAGTACCTCTGAGAGAAAGCCGCCCTCGAGTTCTGACCGATGCCAGACAGTCCAGTTTCTCCCTGTATGAGTCTGGGTCCCCAGCGACTCACTGGAACTGGAGTTCAGAGCAGTCGGGAGCTTGAGACTCCCTCCCGATTGAAAAAACAAAAAAAACGTGTCCTCAGCTGCCAGCCCTTTCCGCGTGCACCTCTGTACCTCTACACTTTACTTCCACACCTCCTCTGAGTCTCAGTGTGCTTTACTCTTTCCTTCTAGTTGTAGAATTTCCACGCAGCCAGCCTTCCTCTGGTTCTGGATGATGTCCGTTTTGTCTTTTAGTTGTATTTTTGAAGTGGTTTTGCGAGGCAGCAATTTCAGGTGTTTACCTATGCCGTCATCTTGGTTTCTCTTCAACTTCAGCTTTTTTCACCATCATCCTCACTGGGAGCACTCACCAGGGCAATGCAAAAGATGAGGAGACTTGGAAGCAGGTACTGATGTTAATTTAAATGAACAGGGAGCTGGAATACTCATAGTCCTGTACCCTTCCCAGTAAACATTCTTAACTTGTGGGTTTTCACCTTGACTGTAGTAGGGGAATCCAGGCAGCCAGGAATTTACCCATAGTCACACTCATAATTGGTGTTGAGTTTGCCGCCCATGACATCTTCCCAAACTCCTTTTTTGGATGTTCACTCCTTTGAATCTTAAAAGTGATGGTTTTGGGCAGCTTGGGCACAAAATCCATCTCGAGGAGAAAGCAAACCTTCCTGGCTGACTACCATTGTCATTTCCTACAAGTGCCCACTCCTCTTCTTTGCCCTTGCACAGCCCACAAGAGGTGGGCACCATATGGTCACCTTAATGAAGCCCATCAAGTATATGAGGTTCTGCTGCTGACCCCATGAGGTTGGCTGCAGCTCTGTGATGTGCTTTGACCTATGAAATGTGGTGGGAGTGAAGCCTGTCACCACTAACAAGACTCTGGAACCATTGAGATAGGACACCCTCTCTGCCCATCTCTGATAATGTCAACAGGTACCTACATGGTGGCTCTTCCTTTATCCTGGTCTCAGGAGAACCAGGTTGGACATGTGGTATGAACAACACAGATCCCTTTACGCTAAGCCACTAAAGCAGTGGTTCTCAACCTTCCTAATGCCGCAACCCTTTAATACAGTTCCTCATGTTGTGGTGACCCCCAACCATAAAATTATTTTCGTTGCTACTTTATGTCTAATTTTGCTACTGTTATGAATCATAATGTAAATATCTGATATGCAGGATGTATTTTCATTGTTACAAGTTGAACATAATTAAAGCATAGTGATTCATCACTGAGACAATATGTAATTATGTATGTGTTTTCCAATGGTCTTAGGCGACCCTTGTGAATGGGTTGTGCGAACCCTGTGAATGGGTCATTCGACCCCCAAAGGGGTCGCGATCCACAGGTTGAGAACTGCTGCACTAAAGCTTTGGGGCTGTAACATCTAGCCAATCCTAATGGTTATGAAGTACCAACTCTACTCTCTAGGAGGCAGCAGAGCCTAACATTAATTAAAAGACAGACCTCTGTTAGAGACACATGGGTTTGACTTCCAGTCCTGCCTTTTATTTACTCTACAATCAGGCAATCTACATTGAGTCTCTGAGCCTGGATTTCCTCTCTATGAGATAGAGGTTTAAACCATCTCAGGTTGACACATCACCTGGTTGCCTCTTGTATGCACCCTAACCAGTGCTTGTGAGGAACTCTGTAATGGAGGTACATACACTTTACCGGAGTCAACCCGCAACCCTTCAGTCCTAGGGCTGACACTCTATCCACTGAGCCAAACCAGGGAGGGCTAAAATGTACACTTTTTAAACATGCCTTTTTGATGTTTCCATTCATGCCTGCATTCCTGAAACCAAGTTCCTCCTGCCCTTTTCAGTGCTTCTTTCTTGGGATATAAAATAACTGGTGCAAGGACACATTCTACCTTTGAAATAGCTTATTTGAAATCTATCCATATGAGAAAAATACTTATGAAACCTCATGAATCCTATTCCAGTCTTCCATCATTATCTACCATGATAGTTGTTCTTGTATCTATTTATCCATAGGTACATTAGTGGGTTACTTAACATAAAGTACCCGATATGTCAGGCTGTGCCCAGATAGCCCAGTTGGACAGAGCATCATCTAAATAACGCCAAGATTGCAGGTTCCATCTGCAGTCAGGGCACATGCAAGAACATTTCTGACCTACCCAGGAAAGCCCAATCTAATCCACTGTAGAAAATTACAGGGACAACAAATTAATGTGTCTATCTCTCTAAAATCAATATACATGTTTTATTCACCCAGTCAGTCCACACACATTTGAACAGCAGCACAGTTCAGGGACCCCATGGTGTCCCGCAGCCAGGGTCCTCATGAAGGTCAAGCATGCGACGATCCAAAGAACAGCATGGGAGTTGCCCCTGTTGTCAGTGTGGAGGGTGGGGAATCCAACCTGAGCTTCACAGTCACCCCCAGGGGATGATGACATCTGTGCTCCCTGAGACTAAGAGGCTGGGAGTAGATCTGGGTCTCTGCCCCAGCCAGGGTTTGAGGTTGGGCTGTTTCAGAATTCAAGTGGTTGAGGAGCTCATATTCCTCTCAGGTGTCAAGGCTGTGAGCAGCAGTGGCAGCTGGGCACATGGGTATGGGCAGGAAAAAGCCCAGGGCAGTTGCCAAGGAGAGTTGGTGCTGGGCCATGTGAGTGGCACTGAGGCCCTCTCTAGTCCCAGTTCAGGCTGGTGTCCTCTCTGTTCCTTGGGGCCATGGTTAGTGGGAAGTGGAACATACATTACCAGGGTAGTCATGACCTGGGGGTCAGCATGTCCTTCAAGAAAACTTGTGACCCAGGAAGGGCCAACCTAGTCCACTGTAATGAAGTGCTGCAGCCATTGACCTGCCCAGGGAGGGAGAGGAGCTGTCTCTTCAGAGGCTGATTCCCTATCTGCCCAGCACGATGTGCTGCAGGCTGCTGAAACTCATGGTCCTCTCTGGGATGCAAGTGTCTTAAAGTTTAGCCACTAAAAGTTGTAGATATTTATCAATCTAAGGAAACAAAATCGTCCTCTTCTTTCCTTCTTGGGTAAACATCCACCATGGCCTGGCCAGTGTAGCTTAAAGGTAAGAGTGTCAGCCTACACTCATGAAGGGTGGAGAATTGAATTCCTGGTCAAAGGCAAGTACCTGGGTTCAAGGTTTAATCCCTGGAAACTATTGTGGACTCATGTGTGTGAAATCCAGTTGAGGTGTGTCTCTTACTTCCGAGACACTCTCTCTCTCTCTCTCTCTCTCTCTCTCTCTCTCTCTCTCTCGCTCTCTCTCTCTCTCTCTCTCTCCATCCCCACTCTTCCACTCTGAATAAAAATCAATGGAAAAATATCCTCCTGTGAGGATTATGAAAAACAAAAATAGAACCATCCACCACCGCTACCCTGACAAGGGGCTTCTGCCTGCACAGCCCACCCCTCCTTATGCGCTCTTGCCTTTTCCTGGGATGTTCCCACTGCAGCTTGGACAAGCTTGGTTTTTCCCAGGAGTTGGTAGAGAGAAGCCCCAGGCAAGGTCCTGGGAGGGACTTGGGTTCTGTGTCTTCCTGAGAGGGGCTGGCCAGGGCTCTTCCATCTCTATCCAGAGGTCTCTCCAGCCTGCTCCTCCCCATCCCCCAGGCACCCTACTCACTGCAACTGCACCTACTTCTGTGTTCGGGAGAAGCCCACACCCCCGTTCACCTTTGTAAAGTCCTGCCTCTGGACAGCACAGTCACACCCGTGAAGTTTTGGTATTGTTTGAGTCTCTGTTTTTGCATTTGGGGGGTAATTTTTCCATTTTGATTTTATTAAAGACTAGAGGCCCAGTGCCCGAAATCTGTGCACATGGTGGGGGGGGGGGTGTCCCTCAGCCCAGCCTGCACCCTCACCAATCTGAGACCCCTCAGCAGAAGTGGGGCCCACTGCCTGTGGGATCAGGCATTAACCAGTAGTCGGACATCCCTCTCACAATCCGGGACTTCTGGCTCCCAGCTGCTCGCCTGCCTTCCAGCCTGACACCCCCTAACCACTCCCCTGCCAGCCCAATTGCCTCCAACTGCCCTCCCCTGCTGGCCCGATCACCCCCAACTGCCCTCCCCTGTTGTGAAATCTTTTCTGCATGAAGTCAAGAACTCAAACACTATAGGCCAAGCTGAGGCAGACCAGCTCCAGGCTGGTTTCTGTTCCCAAAAAGATATGCCTGGGACATCCTGTATAAAGACAGAACTAGGCATGATTTTGCTTACAAGACTTGGAAGAAAACGTGATGGCCCACAA